AATATGAGAAAAGGAAAAAAATGGAAACAAGGTCTTTGCAAATAGGGAAGGGTGGAGGGGGTGAAGGGAGGGCAAGGGAAGGGTAAAAAAAATAAGAACCAAGAAATGGTACAAGATCCCAATGATGAATGTAACTGTATTTTATACCTAAAATGTACCAATAAAGTTAATGGGGGAAAAAAAAAGAAGATCACCCATTAAAAGGCCTGAAAGTATGCCCTAAATGATGCAAGGCAATTTTCTAGTACTTTGTATGCCTTCCAGAAGAAAATAAATTTACTCTGGTGAAAGGTAGCATCAGAATCCTACCATTTTTTATAAACTCCATTATTCATTCCAAGCTTATCAGATATATCCAAGCAGATCAAAGGACTGAACCCAAGAAAATAAAAAAGGCCAATTGAAACAGACCTATGAGTTATAAAGATTATAGACTTTTAAGTAATTAAAATAAATTAAAAATAGAAATAAATATGAATACTACTAGGAAAGTGGATTTTTTTTTAAAAAGACCTAACTGCAAGAGGTACGTTCTTATGAAACATAGAGGACTTATACAAAAATTGACCAGTTCATGCCAATGAATTTCAGAGGGTTGGAATCATGTATAATATATTCTCTAACCACAGTGAAGTTAGGCTAGAATTAAGAAAAATAAGTAGAAAATGCTTTTGAGTGAAATTGGGAAGAACTTCTAAATAACATGTATAAAAAAGGAAATCATAATCAAAGTGGAAATATATTTGGAAAGTAAGGATAATAAAATACAGCATATAATAAGTTATACTTAGAGGAAAACATGTTTGTGTATTTTTATAAAAGAGTAAAGACTGGAAATAAGTGATCAAAGCTTTCATCTCTATAAGCTATTAAGAAAAGTAATAAGCTGCAAATGGAAGGAAAGAATGAAGAGCAAAATTTTAATTTAAACAAATATATACTAGAAAAAAATCTAAAAATTAAAAATAGATTTTTTTAAAAAGAGCAATACAGGGCCGGGGATTTAGCTCTGTGGTTCCACTGCCTGCCTTGCAAGCACCAGGTCCAGAGTTAGATCCTTGGTACCAAAAAAGAACAAGCAATACAATTGATAAACTTCTAGCAAGACTATTCAAGGACATAAAAGATAATATAAATTATCAATATCAAGAAAAATAAGAGACCAATATACCCAATAAACATTTAAAAACCTAGAAGAGAATATTATTAACTTCATAGTGATAAATTTGAATATTAGATGAATAAATTCTTTGAAAAATGTCACTCACCAAAACTCACAGAAAAAGGACATCTTTATATCCTGGTACCTGCTAATGATATTGCATCTGTAACTAATAACCTTCCCCTTGTGAGCTCACTTTTTAATTGATTTGTCTTTGTCTTACAGATTTTAAAGAAATTTTTTGTATTTTATGGATGAGTGTTTTTGTTAAATATGTTTATAATTCAAATAACTTTACCCACACTATATTTGTCTTTTTCACTCTTAAAATGGTAATAATTCATCCTCTAAAATAGAAAGGTAGAGTGTATGGGTTTTAATGCAGTTAAGTTGGTCAGGGTTATGAGAAAATGAGGTTCCTTTTTCAAATTGTATCTTTTTTTTTTCTTCATAAAGTACAGTAGTATTGTAACCTAACACACAAGTTTTGGGAGAACTAACTATCTTAATGTACATAAAGCTCTTAAAACAGGATCTAGCACATATTAATTATACTTTTATGAAATATTGACTAGTTTTAGTATTGTTTTCAAAAACGTCTATTGATTTACTGTTAACAATCAGTATTCTAAATTCTTTAATGTAGTTCCAGCTTTTCTGCTTCTAGACTCCCAACAACTTTTACGTCTATTTTTCTTATATTCTAGTAAAAGTCCTTTGGTTGAAAAGAAAAGAAATTAAAATTGGCACATTTTATTAGTAGAGAATTCCATACATATCAAGGACAGGAAACTAAGTGCAGCTAGTTTTGTGTGGATTAAACTTAATAAATTAGGAAGCAGGAATTTCCCATATTTCTTATCAACAACAGCACAATCTCCTGTGCCTAATTTTCTCAAGGTAGAACCTTTCCTGCTTCTGTATTGGTGACATTGTGGCCTTTTGATGCAAGATGTCACTATTAGTTTCTGTGTTTTTAGAGGAAATTTCAAGAGAGAGTCTTGAGACTGCTGGCCAGCTAGTGGCTTGCCTTTTCCTTCCTTTGTTCCAGTCTGCCACAGCTTATTTTAAGTTCTCCTAGGCTTACGCAGAAGGAAAAATAGACTGAGCACAGGGAAAGATGAAAGTGTTGAGCTTGGTGGGCAAACTGACTGACTTTAACTACATCCGTATTACTCATTTTCTTTCCCATAGTACTGCTGCTTTTAGCCTCACTGGGTTTTATCATTGCCTAGATTGGCTCCTTTTTGACCTTTTCTTTTTTTTTTTTTCCTTAAATTCTTTTATTGGTACATTTTAGGTATACAATACATTTACATTTATCATTGGGAACTTGTACCTTTACATAATGTATCTTGGTTCTTATTTTTACCCCTTTCCCCTGCCCTCCCTGATTTTGACCCTTTTCTAGCCACCAGTTTGGAAAATTCAGTAGACTTGTAGACATTTTCATGAGTTATTCTCCCTTACTAATACTTGGCCATCATACATATTGATTAATATCACCTTTATTCCGAACTGCCACTACAGGGTTTCAAATTTCTATCGATTCAAGCTTCATAAATTTTTCTGGAAATTTGTGAAAGGGTGAGTGAAAATGAGAAGTACCGAATATTAAAAGTATCTCTACAAATAGGATCTTTCATTCTAAATGATCTGTAAGAAATACTTAGGAGTACTTAAAAAAGATTGATCAATCTCAACTATTGAGAGATACTAAAACTTTTCAGTACAATGAAATTTTTTATAGGTAACAATTATTTGTTGCTTGCTCAAATATGCTAGCCTCTGGGGTTTTTGTTCTACTGTATTTTGGTTTTTGGTGCTGAGGACTGAACCCATTCTAGCAAGTGTTCCTACCCCTGAGCTGCATGCACAAACCATGTGTTTTTTGTTTTGTTTTTTTCTTTTTAAGTTTAAATATTTGGTAATAGTTTTTAGAATTCTCTGTGGTCTCCACATTCAGAAGCTCATGATTTGGGTACATGATTAATCATGCAATTTGGAGTTCACTGTTAGTTGTATAAAAGCTTCTTCTGGAAGGATAAGATAGGAAATTCTGTTGAGTGGTAATAGAGTTGTTAGTGTTGGGAAAAGACCCTGGCCCTCATGTTTTGTAAGGAGATTTATTTTACATTAAAATGTTGACTTTTGGGCTGAAGTAGAGTTTTATCTTATGATTATCTTATATGATTCAAAACAAGTCTCTAACTCAGTATTACTACTTTCCCCAATTGGAGAATAGAAAGTTAATTTGATATGCTGTACCTTACACCTTCTGGAAAACAAAATACACACTATATATTCAAAATTTGCTACTTTTATCAACTTAAATATTTTTATTAGTCTTTATTAAATGTATATTTTGAATTAGTTGGTATTTATGTGTTAAAGTGATTATATTTTCAGTGGCATAGTAGGCAAAAATATTTTAAATTTTTTCATATTTAATTCTCTCTTCTTCCTTTTAGGGTAGAGCCTGGATCAGAGTAGCACTCATGGAGAAACATTTATCTGAATACATCTCTACAGCTCTGAGAGATTTTAAAACAACCAGGTTTGAAAGTCTTTAATTTTCTAATAATTTATTTGAAAGAATCACCTAAAGCATTGGAAATCATAATAGAATAAAGCTATTTAGTTTCTAAAGCCTTCAATTATTTTATTTTCTCTTTTTCTTACTGCTCAGGTAAAGTCAGTATCTTCTCAGGAAAATGTAATTTGTCAGCTGAACATATATTTACCTAGGTTTATGTAAAATATATACATTATACCTGGAATATCCTTTTTCTGAATCATTTCTGATTCTCATTCTTTCAACAGTTGAAGCTTCATTCTCTCTGTAGACTTTTCCCTGATCAATTTGAAGAATGATCTGTGAAATTCCTATAAATTCTTTTATCTTTTTATGTTGCAATTTTTCCTTACTTTTTTGTTTGTAAAGAATATAATTGAATTGTTTCCTTTTTTGTTTGTTTGTTACTGGGGATTAAACTTAGGGCCTTTGCACTGAGCTACATCCCAGCCCTTTTTATGTTTTATTTTGAAACAGAATCTTGCTAAGTTGCCTAGGTTAGGCTCTATTTACCTCTCTAATTCATATATATATATATATATGAATTATATGAATACATATATATATATTTGCTTAATTGTGTTTTTAGGGTAGCCTATACTAATGATTTTTTTGCATTATATAGACTTAAGGGTGATAAGTCCCCCATTACCTCAGCAGCTATTATGTATAGTAGCTGCCCTCTTCCTATGGTGCCTTGCCCCCTCCCCTGTGTGACGTCATGCCAAGATGGTTGCTCCCACCAAAGAACAAACCCTTCTTCCCAGCATGCCCCTGTTCCCGCCTAAAGAATAACCTAATACTGGCTCACCTCCTACCACCTAGTGACATCACCGGCTCCTCCACTCCCTAGTCACTACTTCACTCAACCCCACCTCAGCCCCTACAAACCCCACCCCAGTCTCTATAAAAGACTCTCCCTGCCCCGGCCATATTGTTTTTGTCTCTTCTTTGTTCAGAGACAGCCCGGCAAATCTATTCCCCTAATAAAGGCTTGTTGTACCCTGGTCTGGTCTTGGTTTTCGGCCCTTTTACCTGACGAAGGGATGGTATACTGGGGCCATGTGAAAAACAGAACCTTACTAATTTTTTATGATGGTAGAAAAAAAAGGTACATTCAGGACAACAGTTATTCCTGTTTAGTTCTGTTCTGCTGATCTATATCTGTTGTTGAAGAAACCATTTTTCTGCATATCAAAAGTATTTATGCATGAAAATATTTAATAATTTTTTTACCTTAGACATGTACTGTCTAATGCCACTAACTACAAGCTAACTATATAAGTTAAAATTAATTAGAACTACATAAAGTTCCAAATTTAGTTCTTCAGTTGCTGTGTCACATTTCAGGTGCTCAGTAGCCATATGTGGTTACTAGGTAGCACAGATAGAGAACATTTTCTTTCTTTTTTTTTGTTTTTGGTGCTGGGGATTGAACTCAGGTCCTTGTGCTTGTGCAGCAAGCGGCAAAACCACTGAGCTAAATCCCCAGCCCGAGAACATTTTCTTCTTCACAGAAAGTTGTATTGGGCAGCACTGCCTTTGATGCTTGTAAATTACCGTACTTATTTCTCCCTTATTATTCTGAAAACAAAGGCTAGTGACAACTGTAAACCAGTTTTTTTATTTGTTCTTTGTGTTTTTGGTACCAGGGATCAAACTCAGGACCTTGTACTTGCGAGGCAAACACGGTGCCACCTAGCTAAATCCCCAGCCCCTGTAAACCAGTTTTGATAGAGAAAATTAAGCAACAAGAATTCATATTTCTGGAATCTTAATTTTCATGTCCTGATACATTTTTAACATTCTGGATTTTGTGAAAACCTAGGCAGAGTTATTACAGATAACTAGCCAGTACAAATTACAGTATCTTTAATTAGATGCCTCTATCTTGTAAGTAATAAAACAACAGACTTTTAATTTGGGAGATACAGTGCTTGCTTCAGCGGCACATATACTTATTTGGGAGATATAAAGAGAAATGATCATGATTATAAATTTGATCATGACAGAAAGACTTCACTAAAAATTTTGCATAAATCATATATGTATATAGAGATTGCATTATTTTCTTGCAGTATGATGCTCAGGATATTTCTAAAGATGGATACATTTTTGCATTTATTATTTTTAGTAAATGACTTTATGAAAAATAAATATTGAGGATACTAGAGTTTTAAAAATAGAGCATAATTATGGATCCTAGTAGATGAAAACCTGAAAATCTTAAATTAATGAAATCAAAACTAAATTTATACAATAAGCATCTTTTCTAAATTTAAATTAAAATGTTAATAGTCTTTCTAAGTTGTTAGCCTTGTTTCTTAGTTTAAATGATTGAGTGGGGTAGAATAATTCTTGAATAGATTGTTTTTAGAATAAGTAGTTTAAATATTTAAAGCAAAATGTTTGTTGTCTTGTTCATAGGTGGTAGCCATGCTTCTTGATAAAAAGGAAATGATTCAGCTCTTAAAAGTCTATGAAGTAAAAATATTCTTGTAACAATACATAAATATGCTCTAAACAGAAATGTGTCCTAGGATATATATCCAGATACATATGCACACACCTACACATACATTTATATGAATAACTGTTTACATGTGAGTATAATGGGTTTGTAATTCCCAAGAAAGGAAATAAGTTATTTCAGAATTCTCATCTTAGAAATAAAAATGTTAAAAAATAAGGAAGATTTTCCTTTTACTATTTATACTCTTTTACTGAAATATAACCAAAGAAACTTTCAATTATAAATTTGAGTGCACATCTCTTAAGCAGACAAATATATTTGGAAGATTAAATTTGTGAAATATAAGCAAAATAATGGAAAGTATAGTTGTACCTTACCTTTTATATGAATGCTTCCTGAGACAAGTGCTTCTTATGGCATGGGAAATTGTCTCTAATCCTTTAGGAGTCTTGAGAGCATCTGAATCAACTGGATTTCTTCTTGCTCTGTCAGACTTCACAAAGAGTAATGATAACCTTTAAAATAGTTACAAGTATTTATGCCAGTACAGGAGGAGGAGCTACATAAGCTAAGGCAGGCAACTTTGAAGACACTAAACAGTGAAAATCTAAGGATAATTACGGGTGGAGGAAGGGTGGGGAGCAGAAATGAAAGTTTTCTTAGAGGGCATGACTAGCTGCAAGTACTAAAGGGATTAATGTGTTCTTTTTGCTAAGGTGGAAAATGTCTTAAAGAGCAACTGGGAAAAATCTCTCTTGAAGAGTTTCATGGTTAAGAGACTGGATATTATTGGGAAGTAGATTACTGGAGTTGGGAAGTGGGAAGTGAAGATTAGAATCTAAATTTTAAAAAGAAAAGAAAAAGTAAATAGAGAATTGCTATGGTCTGTTCCTGAGAAGATCTGCAAATGAGAATAAAGTAAGAATTGAGTTAATTTGCTCAAAGTTTTAATTTCTCTCCACCCACAGACTGAAAAATAATTAGAATTAGAAAAGTTAAACTAAAAAATTACAAATGTGATATTAGAAACAATAATGAAAATATTTTGGTAAGAATTTGAAGTAACAGATAAGGAAAATATAAAGATAAAATCATCTTTATAGAATTTCACATATTAGCTTACAGTTACAATAAAGAATTAATTTATAATGACAGAGTTGTATTCTGAAGAAATGTTAATTTTCACAGTATTTCAAAACAAAGGAAGAAATATGAAATAAAACTTTGTAAACTACTGAGCTGTCACAGAAAGATAATATGAGTTGGTAGAAAAGTAGATAGACAAGTAAGCATTAAGTTACCCAAATCTTTAAAGAGCCAAGAAAGAGTTTTGAAATATGGATATAATTAAAGGTTTTATATTAATATAATCATCTTATATCCAAGGATTCTCTTTCCACACTTTCATTTACCTACCATCTGAAAATGCTAAATGAAAAATTTTGGAAGTAAAGAATAATAAGTTTTAAGTAACTTTTGTTATGCTCTGTTGTTAATAATTATTCTATTTTATTATTAATTTCTTACCCTGTATTATTTATAAATTAACTTTATCATAAGTATGTAGTATAGGAAAATACAGAGTATTTACTTGCTCCTTGGCTTACTGTGGGGGTTATATCCCAATAAACCTGGGGTGACTTGAAAATATTTAATATACCTAACCTACCAAACATTGTAACTTAGCCTAGCTTACCTTAACATTCTTAGAACACTTAGGTTATAAGTGGCAAAATTACTTCATTTGGTCAAAATCACTTAGTACAAAGTATTTTATAATAGTAATCATATGATTGCATGGCTGCAGCGCACTCCTGCCGCCCAGCATTACCCAAGAGTATTGTATTGCTTGTGGCCAGTCCAGGAATTCAAAATGTGTTGTTCAGTGTCTACCAAATGCATATTGCTTTCTTAGCATCCTTATGTACAAAAACATCACAAGTTTAACCATTCATTCCTAGGAGGCTGCCTACGTAAAGCTTGATATTATCCAGTTTCAGGTATCTGCTGAGGATCTTGGGACGTATTCCCTATGAATGAAGGAAGGCTACTGTATTAAGATGAAAAAGTAAACATTTTTAACAGTTGCTCTTGTGTAGTCTGTTATCTCACAGCCTAACCTCAAATGGATTAAACTTAAATGTAAGATGCTTAGAGGACAACACATACGTAAATCTTTGTTTTGATTGGGAAGTAATTTCTTATGACAGCAAATGTACAAAGGACAAAAGAAGAATAGATAAATTGGACATAATTAAAATTTAAAACTTTGTGCTTCAAAGGACACCAACAAGAACATAAACAAATGACTCATAGAATGAGAGAAAATTTTGGGGAACCATGTACCTGATAAGGAAGTTGTATCTAGAAGGTATCTAGAATAAAGAACCTTTGCAAATAATAAAAAGCCTATTTAAAATGCACAAGAATCTAAGCATCTCTCCAAGGAAGCACCACAATAAATCCTAACATCCTAAGTCAGTAAGGAAATACAAATCAAAACCACGAT